GGTTCAATAACTCATAGATGTGAAGAGTACTTAACATATTACAATTCCACATTGAGAAATTAAAGAAAGATTAACGGGTTAGTAAGATCTTGAATTGAATTAGTTAATCTATTGGATTCAATATTTGTGTGTGCCGGAATTTGGCCTAAGCTTCTTATGATTGAGTTGAGTGACCCATACCATGTCTTAAATTTTATCCTGGTATCCGAGGAGGTTATGGCCCACCTGGTTTATTCCCGGTTGTCCGTTAGAAAGTCTAATTCCAATGGCCCATGGGCCTTTAGATGTTGTTGCTTTGAGCTTTCATTTCAAGGGTTTGCAAGTTGTCAATCGGTTAGATTGAAAATGGTCCGGTTTTCCACTTGAGAAAAGTGGTAGAATCTAACATAGGAATATTAAAGAAACAATGCTAGATTAACTAGATCATGTGTCAAACTTGATAATCTATTTAATTCAATCTTTTAGCGTGGTTTGGCTCAAACGTCTTGTTGTTGAGTTGAGTGATCCCTACCCTATATTAAATTCTATTCTCTCGCCATGTTCTAAGTTTAAATATATTTCCCTTTTGTAAATATGGATTTGAAGGGTAAAGGAAGCATTTTATATGGGTCCTCCTTCAAAGGACAAGCTCCCAAAGGTCAGCATTTCTGACTGTCCCTAAACACTGTATTCTTGTCCTTTTTCTGCAATTGTAGTTGAAATGTCTTATTATGCGCTTCGCTTACCTGCAGAACTGCTCTCAAGGATCTATATTAGTCGGGACAGTGTCATATGCAAGTTCACAAAAGAACCCTGTCTCATATCAAATATCTTATAGGGTGCCTCCAAGCAAGGTCAATCTAATGTCATCTGTGCAACACATTTACGTTCCTTTACAGACGATTGGATCTGCTTATCCTTAACGTAGTGTGTTAAATCCATCTATGTTACAGCTTAATGACAAGTTGGAGGAAAGTTCCTCAATTTGCGCCAAGAATGTATCTGAGAAATTATATGCGGAGGTAGTAAACGGCTGAACTCACAGGATCCATTCCTATTCCATTATATTCATCTTAGGAGATTTGCAATTCTCCCACTAAAGTTGGTTTTTGTAGCAAATTTCTGTAAATTATTGTGATTTTTTGTGTGAACTACCCAAACCAATTACAAGACTTGTTTCACTTTCTTATTGATCCATTGGTACTGCCAACCAGGTCCGTGATGCTAAAATAAATGTTCTTGTTAGCTTAAACCAAGGCACTGAAGAGGAACACACAGAATGGAGAAAGTTATCCATCACTCTTAAGGTAATTATTGTTCCATATGATTTATGCTGCCAGGATGATGAATTTTTGCAAAATGACTTATGCGCTTACTAAACAGTTAGCAAACTTAAGAGGGTGGGGATAAAAACAATTGCTGAACTTGTGAGATTTCTTGTGAAATATATCCACCTTATCAGCTTCACATGAAGGAAATTTGTAAACATCATCAGTCTTTTTTTGATACCTAATTGATGTTACCATTGGGCTACTTCCCCTCTGGTATCCTCAAAAAATACCTAATACTTCCTCTGTCTTTGAAACAATTTTACACCTTCCTTTTTGGGATGTGTAGGAACTAGGAAGCGTAGTGGACCAAAAAATAATATTTTTATTATTACACTAGGAACAAAGTATTATAACAAACAAACTTTTAACCACTCATAATTTTCTCACTACAAGTGCTGCTGCATTTTTTTCTTTTATGAGCTATGGCTCAACTCTCTCTTCTCTTATTTCTTTCTTTCTATAAAACATGCATATCACTACATATGCATGTACCCATATTTACAGCTTACACTAACCGACCTAATGAAGAAGTGTCAAGCTCACTGCCAAAATCTCTGTCAAATGAGAAACTTCCAGTTGATGCAGCCATGCAGCCAAATTTGGCCATTCTCCACCACCTAAATAAATGGCTCCATTTGTTACTTCTGCATTTTTTAAAGTTTATTTAGCATGTCCTTCCATCATCTCTGATGCAGCCAAAGATTCACTATTTTTTTGTCTTTGGCCTTTGGGTATGATGGAATAAAGCAAATAGTTTAAACTGTCTGCGCTTCTTTTTCAATAGTGAAGTAATAGTTAGTCAATGCAACTTTCGACGCTTATCATGGGTTATGCAGAAACAGCCGCTCTATGTTTTTTTAAACATAGGGGTCAGACTGCGTACATCTGCGTACATCTGACCCCCCCTTACCCTGCAATGGGCGGGAGCCTTTGAGGCACTAATGTTGTTGTTGTGTTGTAGTTTATTTAGCATGTCATGTTTGACTTCTTCAAGAATGGTTTTTAATTTGATTTTGAATTCCAACAAGATGTCTAAAAATCAACTTTACACTTCTCCACATTCTTTTCAAGAAACAAATATGTGGATATCATTCTTTCTCTCTTTCAAATAAATGCAATCACACACTTTTTACTTTTCCCCATCTTTTCAACACTTTTCTTAATTTCCGTGAAGTCAAATTGTCAGGTTCTTTCAAAGACAGAGGGAGTAGATAAAAAAGTTGAAGCCAATATGTCGTATTTGCATGTTTTCCTTGTTCCAGATTTTACTTGTTGAAAATTTTTTCTTCCTTGTGAGATCACTTTTCTCAAAAGGTGCATCAATTGGGCATTGTCTAAAAAAATATTTTGACATACTATTCTCTCCATTTTAGTTATTACACGAATAAGTTTGTTGTGGAGTGCGACTGTTACCTTAGAACCTGTTGTCAAATTGGTAAACACTTGTATTTTATCCTCAGAGAGTTAAACATTATTCAAAAAATGTTTTCGATTCAACTAGGTAAACAAGGTTGTGAGTATATTGGTCAGTTGACGCGTTGTTTGTTATCTCCATATGTCAAGTTCTAAACTCACATCCATGGTACATTGTACCTATTTGTCGTAAAACAAGTCCCTCTTTAGTATTTTTTTTCCTCCTCC